AGCTCAGGCTTTGCTGGAGTCTGTGTGAGTGCACCTTGCAAGAGGCAAGGATGGATGGCCCTGGCAGTTCCCTGCCTCTTAGGAGCTTGGTCCCTTGGTCCCCTCAGGTTCAGAAGTACAAGGTGCGCTGCTCAGGAGAGCTGGGGGAGCTCCTGCTGCTGCGTCTACACAAGGAACGCTATGCTTTCTTCCCCAAAGACCCTTGGTACTGCAGCCACATCTGTGTCACTGCCCCTGATGGCTCTGTTTTCCACTTCCCCTGCTATCAGTGGATCGAAGGCTTCTGCACCACAGAGCTGCGACCGGGCACAGGTGGGCCAGAGGCAGGGGCTGGGTGGGTTGTGCCAGAGAGGCATCTGCTGGGATTAGGGGTGGGGGCTCACAGCGCCCAGTGTGTAGGGACTAGTCCTTGGAGAAGGACATCGTGTTTGGTAAAGTAGAGGGGCAGCAAGCAGAGGATGGCCTGCAGTGAGATCGTTTGACCCAATGGTTGCAACAACGAACATGAAGACACTTGTGAGGATGGCGCCAGACCAGGCCGCATCTCCTTCTGCTGTGATAGTTGGGGCTGACTTCTACCTAGCAACAACAGAGGAGATCCTTCTGAAGAACATGCACCTCTCGATTCCTGATGAGCAGGGGATTTCTGGGCCTTATGGCCCCTCGGGAAACAAGCAGACACACATACTCACACAGGTGTCAAAACTCAAACTGCCACACGTCCATGAGAACACTCTCAGAGACAGATACACAAGCGCATAAGCACACCCACATGGAACACACAGAGAAACAAAGGAGCTTCCTTCTCCCTTACTCCCCCTGTATGTATTTCCCAGAGTCCATGCCTCTGCACCCCACAGGAAAGACCCTTCACAGGTAGACAGGCTCGCTGGGGAGACCCTCCTGGGAGCTTTTCTAGCGTGGGTGAAGTCCCTGCCTGCTGTTTCCAGGGTCCCTTGTTAAATTCTGGAGTCTCTTAAGTTGCTAGGAGTCCAGGGGTGCAGTGGTTATTCACTGGGCTGGTAACTGGTCCGCAGTTCAAGGCTGCCAGTGCCTTCTCAGGAGAGAAACAGGCTTCCTACTGCAGTAAGTCGCTGTGGTCTCAGTTCTAGTCTGTCCTATAGGCCTGATTCTGTGTATCAGAATCAAGCGATTTTTAAGTTGTGAGGGCCCCTTCTAGTTCCTAAGTGACAAACTGGCAAAGTGAGGGCTGACGGGAGTGTTGTCTTAGGTGTGAGTGAGTGGTGAGGCAAGTCAGCATTCATTGTCAGTCAGTCATAGACATCACTGTGAACCCTCCTCCATCATCACATCCAGCCAGCCATCCCTTCACAAACTCTATTTGTTCATAGATCATTTATCAAGGGCATAATGGGACCTGGGTGCCAGGTACATGCTAGCTGCTGGGGACACAACAATGAAGACAGGGCAACGTCTGCCTCCACTGAGTTTCGGGTCTGGAGAAGAGATGGAAATGCAAACCCTGTGGACGATTGCTTGGGGCAAGGCTGTTCAGGATTGGCGGGATACATACCGTGGGCTTGGGTTCAAGGCTCAGGGGGTCTGGGGAGGCGTTATTTGAAAAGATACTTACACGGTGGGTGGTTTTTATTTCCTACAGCAAAAACAATTTGTCAAGACTCCCTTCCCCTCCTTCTGGATCACAGGCAGCGAGAGCTCCAGGCCCGGCAGGAATGTTACCGGTGAGGGAGTCCTCTTTATGCTGATCTCAGCAGAAATCAGATGGTTACTAACTCCCAGCTATGCCTTCAGTTCTAACCCTGGTAGAGAAACTGCAGGGTTCCTGATCTAAACCCAACCCCTTCCCATATTGACCGGGAAGAAAAGTATCAGCAGTTGGCCCAATTGATCAATGAATCTATAAAAAAAAACCTCAGCCCCAGTTGGTTCCAGCCCAGTGACCCCATATAGGGTTTCCAAGCCTTTTATAAATCTCTATAGGAATAGACAGTCTCATCTTTCTCCCTTGGAGAGAATGGTGGGCTCAAACTATCAACCCTGTGTCTAACAGTCTGACTCTTACCCTGCAGTGCCACCAGGCATATTCAGCATCAAGTTGCACTTGATTTAGCCCAGATCCTACTATCAGAGATGACCCTGGAATTAACCATGACCCAAACCAACCTCAGTTCATCCACAGCCTCACTCCCAGACTGGCCTTGACCTTCAACACAAGCTCCCCTTGACCTTGAGATCGACACAAACCTAACTTACTCATGTCATCCTCAAATACTGCCCTGATCTGAATCCTAGTGCCTTTATGGAGAAAATTCCAATTCCTTGCTTCCAGAGTTTTAGTTTAAAGTCAAGTTTTAAAAAGTGAAGCCCGAACTCTGAGCTCACTACCATCCAGTGCGTTTGGCTCCTAGCAAGCTCACAGGGCCGGGTGGAACTGGCCCTTTGGGTTTCTGAGGCTTTTAAATCTGGGAGCTGGGAGCCGGGAGGGAGGGGCGGAAATGAGGAGCTGATGCCAGGGACTTGCTTGGGTGGAGAGCAAATGTTTTGAGAATGATGAGGGCAATGAAGGTACAGATGTGCTTGACACAATGGATGTCTGGGATAGGAGTTGTATGAGCCCCTAATAAAACGATTTAAAAAAAACCTGGGAGCAACTGAGAGGCTCAAAGCGGTGACTCAGTACTCAGCCCAATCCACCTCCAGGCCTTTTAAAAACTACAGTTCCTGTTGATCCTCACTTGACCTCTGACCTCTTTCCCCTGGAAGATGGAAAATCTTTGCCCCAGGCTTCCCTCGAATGGTGGATGTTAGCAGCTTCCAGGAGATGGAGTCTGACAAGAAATTTGCCTTGACTAAGACTACCGCTTGTCCAGCAGACCAGGGTGAGAGGTGAGGACCGGGGCTTGGAGAGCCCTATGGGGAGGGAAGTGGGGGAGGGGGGTTGCTCTGTGGAGAGAGGCTGGTGCAGCCTGGGAAAGGAGTTGGGGCAGGGCGACAAGAAAGGGCACCAAGACGAGGACATTTCCAGGAACCAGGAATGGGGTGGCCTGGGGTGGCCTGAGGGGCCTGGCTGAGAGGGCAAGATCAAGAGGTCCTTTCAGGTTCAAGAGTAGTGGGTGAGGAGAGGGGGCCTGGGGACTCTGGGACACAGGGAAGTCATTCAGGGGGGTGAGGGAGCTGTCGGGCCCGTCTGACGGGTGTTTGTCCTCCTGCTTGCTTGCCCCTCAGCAGTGGGAATCGCTACCTGCCTGGCTTCCCCATGAAAGTTGACATCCCATCTCTGCTTCACATGGAGCCCAACATCCGCTACTCGGCCACCAAGACGGCCTCGCTGATCTTCAACGCCCTCCCAGCGTGAGGCCACTGCCCTCCCCCCAGCCTCCCCACTCCACCACCACCCCGCCCCCATGGATGCCTTCTCTCTGTACCTCTCACGTCTCTGCCCTTAAGCTCCCCCTCTCTGCCTCTCCACCTCCTCTCTCCTCTCATAACCTCCTCTTGGTTGCTTTGTTGTCCCTTCTCTTTTCCGGCCCTCCAATCGATCAACGATGCATTCCGTGGACGGTGCGTCCCTGTGGGCTGTGCTGAGTAGGAGAGAGTGGCCGTGTGCTCAGCCCTCAGGCTGTAAGAGTTTGAAATCAGACCACCACCTCTGGTTCAGATCCCAGCACCCATGCTTTCTAGCTTTGGTTTTTCACTTAGCCCCCTAAATAGCTTCCTTCTCTGTAACATGACAGACGGTACTAGGAACCTCATAGGTTCGTCTTCGAAGGACATGAGATCTTGTCCAACACAAAACAATCTCTCAGTGGATGGTGGCTGTTAGGGTTTGATCTTCTGGGAGGAATTCACATGATCAGAAGGTGACAAGGCAGGTAGTTAATTAGCTAGCAGTCTGCTCGAGAGGGCAACTCCAGTCTTGTGGAAGTGGCTGGGGGGAGGGGGGGAGGAGTCGTCAACATCCCAGGTATTTACCTAAAAGGGAGGTGGGTGAGCTGGGGCAAACAGGTGGCTCCCAGGAAAATAAAGGGGATTGAGGCAGATTTTGAGAAGAATAGATAAGGAGAGAGTGCTGGGTCCTGGGCAAAACCAGGTTGGGGACGATGCCTACATGGAGGCCCAAAAGAAGCCAGGACACAGAGGCAAGCCCTTGTCTCCTGGGCTTCCGGGTCCACCCTGATTCTTTAGCAGGACCAGTGGGAAGGACCAGGGGTGTGTGGAGGGCTAGGGAGTCTCTGGAATGGATTGGAATGTGCAGAAACCCAAGGGTGGTAGGTGGCTTGGGCTTTAGGACAAGAACCCACTGAGAGGCCCTGCCTGGGCTGAGGAACCCCAACAAATGTCTGCAGGACGGTGAGAAATGCTTAGTTGGCACAGGGGACGTTGGCACAATTGTCCCTGTGCTTATGGGATTTTGTAATTGCTCCTGGTCCACATTCTTTCTGGCACATCAGCATCTTTGCATAGCCCCTCCTCCACTGGCCAGCTGCCTGCAAATCAGACTGGTCTGTGCTCTGCTCCCTCCTCATTTAGTGAGTGGCTCCTGGGAGCTCCATTTGTGGGGACAATACGGAAGTGCGGCATTGCCCTCAGGAGCCCGTGACCCAGGGAGGATGCTAGGTGAACACTGGGTTTATAATGACTTTCAGAGAACCAGGTATGTTTTGTGAAAGAGACACAGCAGATATGTGCTTAGGGGACATTAAAGGAAGGCTTCAGGAGCCGGGCATCAAAGACGACCCTAGAAGGATGCATAGGTTTTTATTTGGGGTGCTGGGTTGGTACTGAGTCAGCTCCCACTCCTGGTGATCTTGTGTAGCCCCAAATCAAACTCATCCCCACTGACTCATAGCGACTCATAGCGACCCTGTAGGGCAGGGTAGGACTGACTCGGGGAGTTTCTAAGATGATAACTTTACGGGGGTAGAAGAGTCCAGCTTCCTCCCACGGAGCAGCGGGTGGTCTCGAACTGCTGGCCTTGCAGTTAGCAGCCCAACAGGTATGCTGTCGTCAGGTGCCATCGATGTGATGCTGACCCATAACTACCTTCTGCACAGCAGAACGAAACACTGCCCCCGGTCTTGCACCAACGTGCGCAGCGGAAGGAAAGGCTGCTTCCTCCTACCCCTTTTTCACAATTGTTGGTGAGCTTGAGCCCAGCCGTGTGGCCTGTGTATGGGAGTGCCTTCCCACATACACAGGGGGCACACTGTGTGCGTGCTCCGTCTGAGGAGACCCTGCTGTGACCCAGAGAGCTTTTCCTGGCTTGTCTCCAGAAGCGGACTGCTTCCCTTCCTTGTCCTTGTCATCAGGTGGTGCTGAGTCAGTCCTTCTCCTGACGACACTGCCCGCAGGAAGAAACACCGCCCGGTCCCGCACCAGCCTCACAATGCTTTGTTTGAGCCCATTGTTGCAGCCACGGTGTCGGTCCGTCTCCTTGAGGACCTGCCTGTTTGTTTCACTCCCCTCCACTTGACCCAGCAGGCCGTCCTCCAGGGACTGGTCTGGTATGACAACATGTCCCAAGGATGTGAGAGGAAGTCTTGCCAGCCTCCCACCTGAGGCACACGGGCTGTACTTCCCAAACGGGCCTGTTTGTTCTTCCGGAGCCCGTGGTACTGGCTGGCACCTAAGTCAAGGCCACGGCGTCTTCTTTGGTCTTCCTTATTCATCGTCCAACGGTCTCCTAGTCTGCTTTACTCTGGAAACCCCACTGGAATCAGTTCACCGGGAGGGACTTGGTTGGCATTTGGGAGACTGTGGTGGAGCTTCCCGGGAGCCTCTGTGCAGTGCACAGCCAACTCAGGATGGGTTTTTAGAAGCTCGGAGCGTCGGCGATGACACTGTCCGAGAGCCCAGCCTGAAAAAAGCGGGCCACGCCGATGTCACCCTGAGTATTTTTCTTATTTCTTTTTCTGGCTGTGTCCGAATGAGAGCTCCCTGTAAAGAGGTCAACAGTACAGGTGTCAGCAAAGTGTAGCATGGACCTTCCTAGAGGGCCAGCCCGGTTATCAGCATGACCAGCTCCGGTGTACCAACTGGCTCGGTTCTGAGAACAGGTCATGGTTGGGTTTATATCGTGCACGGAGCGGAGGGGGAAACTGGCAAGGCTGGTGGAAGCCAGCAGGTGGGAGCTTCCTGGCCAGGCAGACTCAGCAGCTGGCAGGCGGAGGTGGAGCTGGCAAAGGTCTGTGAGAAGAAAGAGACTCTTAAGGAAAGCTGACCAGAAATCCAGACAGAATGAGCAGTCTGAACCACATGGCTACACGCACCACTCTTGCCCGCACCGATGGTGTGGCACTCCCCCACCCAGCATCCCAGGGACTGCTGCATTTGAACGAGGTTCCCTGAGACTACAAAACCCTCAACAGAGCAGGCGATGCTTCTCTCCTGGGGCTTGTTAGGGATCTCTACCTGAGTATTGACCACGTCACATCCCCCCTGGACCCCCAGCCTCCTACCCTCCCCCTTCTCTCCCCCACAGGTCCATAGGCATGAAGTTTCGGGGACTGCTGGACCGTCAGGGCTCCTGGAAGAAGCTCGATGACCTCCGGAATATCTTCTGGTGCCACAAGACCTTCACTACAGGTGTGCTGAATCAGGCGGGAGATGTCTGTCTTCACCTTGCGGCCTGCTCAGACCCCACTCCCTCTCCTGGAAAAGGGCCCTCTCCCAGCCTGCCCCAGGACACTGCCAGATTCCAGCGGGGAAGGTTTCATTGGTGGGAAATCTCTCAGTTTTCCTCCAGAAAGCCAGGACCCTGCCTGCTCTCCGGGAGGGAACAAGAATAAGAGTCGAGAACAGGGAGAAACCCGGCTTGCCAGGAGATGGTCATGGGTCGCTTAGGGTAGTCTTGATCCTGATAGAGGACCAACTCGAAAAGCAAACTGATGGCCGTTGACTTGAAACGGAGCCTATAAGACGTGGTTGATCTGTCTCCCGTGGCTTTCTGAGACTGTAACTCTTTATGGGAGTAGAAAGCCCCATCTTTCTCCCGCAGAGTGGCTGGGGGGTTTGAACAGCTGACCTTGCACCTCAGCACATAACCATTACACCACCAGGCCTCTTCCCTCCTCCTTCCACCACTCATAGTGCCAGACTTTAGGACCAGACAGGCCTGGGTTCGAATCCCTGCTCCGTCCCTTTGCCCCCAGGCAAGCCCCCTCCATCTGCTTGACCCTGTTTCAGTGCCAGATTGGAGAGATCACTTGGTGTGCCTCAGAGGATTCCCGAGAAGAAAACAGGGACATAGCGATGGAGAGAGGGCTGAGCAGGGGCTGGTGCATCTGCCTCTAGGTGAATGGGCCCTCCTCTGCTCCCTAGAATATGTCACAGAGCACTGGTGTGAGGACTACTTCTTTGGGTACCAGTACCTGAATGGTGTCAATCCCGTCATGCTCCGATGCCTCTCCAGTTTGCCCAGCAAGCTGCCTGTCACCAATGACATGGTGGCCCCCTTCCTAGGGCCAAACACCTGTCTGCAGACCGAGCTAGAGGTGAGTGAGGACCTCAGGAGTGGCCGTGAGAGGAGGAGGTGGGCAAGTGGCCCATGTGGACAAAGGGTGTCTGTGGAGGACGGGGACGATGGGATGAGGGGGGTACCACTGGGCAGCCGGGACCCAGCACGTTGTAAGTAGAGCAGGTGTGGATGAGGGCTGGATGGGGGTCCTGCTGACTGTGCGATGAGTGGACAGGGTTGCTGTGGGGAGCGTGGTGGAGGCCAGCTTGCCCCTGCCCTGGGGTTTCCAAGATCCTGGGTGCTGAGGCCTGAGGAAGGTGTCACCGGAGACAGTAATAACAGTG